CAGGACCAGGTACTTAGCTGGAAAATGTGCCTCTTACAGTTTATATTGCTCTCCTATGCTCAAAGAGAAGATTATATAAATTCTAATGACATTAAATGCCACAATTTTGGAGCAGATTATGAGCCTTCCTCTTAGAGTAATGATCTCAGAGAAGGAGTACGGGAGAACTTTGTTCCTTCATTTTTCAAAACAGAAAAATCCATTAGGAAAATCATCTGCCACAAAATGAGCACTGTTATACACAGACTGAATTATACCAGGACATCGTAGGATACTTACAATACAGCTACATATTTTCACATAAGGTAGGACATTGCTAATTGTTGGAATTATGCTCTTATGCTTTCTCGCAGCCTCTGAAGGAGGACAAGAATATCCAAGTCATGTAATGTGTCAAGCTTAAGAACAAATAGTAAGGCTGGCAGAACAAACCACACACAGGCTAGGCTATGGATTAGCTGGGACAGGCATGTGATAAGCTCACAGGTAAAGAACAGCAAGGATTTGAGGCCTGAATCGCCCTTCCCCATTGCAATGTGCGCACCTTTCTCTTTACTTTTCTCAGAATGTGTCCCAATATAACATATAACATATAACATGTGACAACTTATTTAACTGCCAGAATCATTATAGAAAATAAATGGAAAAAATTCCCAGCTTTTCTGGATTTTTGAGGGTGTAAAAGTCCATTGTGTGTATGTGTGTGGGGGCACGTGTAGAGGTAACATATGTACTTTCTGCTCAATTTTTCTGTAAACATGAAACGGATCTAAAAAATAAAGACTATTCACTTTTTAAAAACCAGTTTTAATATAGAGGCCTAAAAATCACAAAAATTAATTTTGTGATCCCCATCATGTAGGAAATTTACTACAATCAGCTCAGATCATTTCTTGCTTTCCTGCCCCACCTACCCTCTTCTCTTCTCTTGTGCTGGTGCTTCTCTGTGTATTTAGTCTGAAGCATGCATCATGCAATATTTTTTGCATATATTATATAATTTAATTATAATAATATGGAAATTAGGAAAGTAGAAATAATTCCCATTAAGTAAAGCAATCTAAGTCACCTAAGAGGTTTATGCTCGAAAAATGTGTCTAACTCTTGACTCTGTCATCAACTGAATTATAGTAAAAAAGTTTAAAAACTTTTTGTAGTTTGCTTCAGGGTGGGTGTACTCACTAGAGAGAGACAGAGAGAGATACAGAAAGAAGGAAAGTGAGAAATTCCCACCGGGGATGTCCATGCCACAATCCCTTCTCCTCCATTCTCCTCTTGGGATTTTGGGCACACACGCACACAAACCAGTGTGATTGTGAAGACTTTACAAGACTCGAACCATTCCATCGACCACACGGGATCCAGCTCCCTTAACTTCCATATCATTGCTGGTCTGAAAAGTTAATAAACACTTAAACCTAAGTTTTAATATCTACATACTGGGGACCATCATCATCCCATCAGAAGTTGTTCCAATGATTAGATAATAAAATATCTTTCAAAGACTTAGTTCATATTTTAACATAGTATAAATACTTCTTAAATTCTTACAGGTAAAAAAATGGAGGACCAGGAAACATAAATAATTTTGTCCATAATCACACATATGGTTTATTGTGGAGTATAAAATAAGTTCAGGATCCCTAACTATAAAATTTATGTCAAGTATTTTCTGTTTATATATTCTCATATATATGCAGTTTAAAGGATGAAGAATAGAAGAAAAGTAGAAGGAAAGAGAGAAAGCAGGGATATATATATATATATATATGGATATATATGTACACACACACATATAGGGATGTATATGATGTATTCTCATATATATATGCAGTTTAAAGGATGAAGAACAGAAGAAAAGTAGAGGGAA